AGTAAGAGTCTTATATGGCATATGAATTATGATGATTAATTAATGTAATATGAGATTAGAGCTACCTCTTCTATTTTTTATATTAAGGGGTTGAGCAATGAAAATGTGTTTCATGAGTATTGCTAATAGTGTGGTGCATTGCACAAGTCCATTGTAGCTTATTGAGTATGATCTGAATGATGTTTGTAGCTTTTGGCTTTTGATATGAGTTTTGAACATTCAAGTTATGTGTAAATACTAAAAAAGAGGAAATTTTAAAATGATTGTCTAACTTTTTATTGAGAGATAGTTTGATTAAGAAATTAAAGCCATTAGCTACATTTAGGAGAGAGCTCTCTGTAGAATCTAGATCACGTCAATTGAACATCAAACAAAGAAAGAGGATGCATTAAAAGTTGCCTCGATTGCTATCAAATGATAGCAGAATTCTGCTACAAAAAAGTGTGCAATGCACCTCGTCGCATTGTGTTTGAGCTACGGTGAATGGCACTGAGACTCACGAGCCACGGCACAAGTGCAACGAGTCACAACATATGCCTTATTTTCTACATTATTTCACTATTTTTCAATATTTAGCAAATGCACTAATTCTTTTTGTGACCTCATGCTTTCGCATATAAATGAACTCTATTAAACAGTCTGTGAAGATCTTTTAGGATGTTTTAATTTTGAAAACTTGGATCTCGTTTGTATAATTTGTTAAATTTGATAATCATCATGATGTATGTGGAGATTGGGAAGGATTGGTAAGAGTAACCTTACTTATCCCTAGATTTCAACTTGCTATCAAAGCTTTACAAGCTTGGTAATCTCTTTAGGGGCTAATCTCTTGATTATCATGAATTTTGGTTTTAATTGTGTTTAGTAAAGAAGGATTTGACACTTTAACTCCTAATAATGACTCTTAATGCTAGCAACTATCAAAGCCTCGTCATGATGATACTTATAAGCATCCTTAAGTCTCATCAAGATCATTGAATGCCTCATTATTGTCCAAACAACTCCAAAAACTACTAAAAGAAGGAGCAAGGAGCAAGGATATTGAAGTAGGAAGCTTATCCATGCTGTAAAAATCTCAAAACATCACAATCATCGAACCCTAGTGGAGCCTTAACATCTACCCTTCAAACTTCTCTCCCAAAATGCTCCAAATATGTCATTTTGTTTTACAAATTTAGATTTTAAAATTTTGTCATGCTCATTGCGACAAATTACCCAAAATAGATAACTCTGCTTAAACTCAAAACATTGAGCCCAAAGCAGCTCAAAACACTGTTTAACCTCATTATGACTTTCCTGAAGGGTCCTATAGGCCCAAGTAGTCAACCGAGCCCAATAGTCAACTCCTAATTATCATAATTAATTAATTATGTTGCCTCATTAATTAATTGGTTTATTCTTGAATTAAATTTCAAAATGTTACAACTTGCCAACTGGATCATTCAGGTTTCAAATGAGCTCATTCAAGGCAACAAGGAATATGATCTAGAAGCGATTTGTATTCTGCTTCACTATATATAGATGAAGTGAAACTTACATGAATCTCTCAACTTCACTCCAATGCAAGTCATCACACAATTTTAGGATCAACGAAGTTTTCTTAAGAATGTTTGTTTAGAGAATGCACAGGCACAAAAGTTGGTGGCATCAAATTCAAGAAGACAGACTAGACCTTTAATTTTCAATTGTAGGATATTTTTTTAGATCAAACAGTTGTAGAATTCAGATGGAAGATTAAAATAAAAAGTTCAAGAAGGGAGCTCTTATCGGTTGTGGAGCTCAGATCTTACTCAATTTTGACAAGATTTGCAAACTCTTAATCTCGCACTCTCATAATGACAGTGCTCGTTCCTTTGATCTTGCATGTCTACGTGCTATACTATTATGGATTTTAAATTTTATGGGTGAATCGAACCAAATATGTGGTCTTCGATCTCTTTGTATTGAAGCACACCATGGCAAATTCAACATGGATGATCAAGCCTCTGAGTGTTATGCGAAAGATGTTCTTCATCTTCTCAAGTAGTTCAAAACTATTCAAATATACAAGCTGTACTGTCAATGCAGTGTAGATTCATCTTTTTTTTTTATTTGTCATGATATGAACTTTTTTTACTTTTCAGTTGTAAGACATCAACTCTTATTTAATATTGTAAGTTGATCGCTTTTTTTTTTTTTTTAAATTATACTAGCTACACACACACACACACACACAAATTGTCTCTGCGTGACTTACATTCATTACCGCCAAATGCTTACGTGGGATATTTGTTGCTCCTATATAGTTTATATATATATATATATATATATGCTATGCTGGGTAATTCAGCGACTTCAAATTATTGGGGCTGCGTCATCATGAAGTTCCTTCCTCACCGGCATTGATTGCTGGTTGGGTATGTTAAGGTTTGGAAATTGAGCCTCGGAGTAAGGGTGGACCTGGATGACTGCATCCTCTCAGACTCCCACTCTCTTAGCGTCCCTCAACGAATCTACACCCTTCAAACTATATCCAATGTCTCATATTTTATTACATTATTCCATATTAAAATAATTTAATTTAAAATAATTTACGCTTTATTTCGCTACTTTACATATATGTTTTTTAGGACAATGATTTAAATTGATTTTTTTATTTTCAAAACTTATCCTAAAAAATTACTTTGTAAATTTTTTAAATAATTTTATATTAAATAGATTTGACTAGATTTTAGATAAATCAAGCTATAAGTCCCTGCAAGTCTATTTTACAAAAAAAAAAATTGAAACATAAATATAAGTTAACTTATAAAGACTTGCAATATGACTTATTTAAACTTTTGAATGACTTGTTTAACAAAAATCTATTTAAAAAAAATCTATAGAGTAATTTTTTAGAATAAATTTTGAAAATAAAAAAATTAGTTTGACTCATTATCCATATATATATATATATAAAGATAAAATAAAGTGTAAAGAATTGTTTTTTAAAATTAAATTATTTTAATATGGAATGATGTGGTAAAATTTGAGGTATTGGATATGGCTTGAAGGTTGTAGATTCCCGCCGCAAAAGGACACTACGAGATAGTGGGAGTTTGAGGGGGTCCAGATCGAAACAAGGGTATAGCTTGTTGGACTTAACCATCATTAATGTTGGTTCAGAATACAACAAAGTCCTCTGTATAACTCATCTTTTAAAAATAATTCATAGTTTTTTTTATAAATCACTTTTCATAATAATTTTTTTAAAAACTTATAATTTTTCACTAGCAAGGCAAGATGTTGCATATGAGATATATAATTGATTTTCAAAGATGGTACATTCAAATCGAGAACGTTTGATGAATTGGTTGAGGAAATTGGATGAACTAATTATAAAATATCAAATTTGAATTATGGAACATGCAGATGTTAATAAAATATTGAATTTAAATCATGGGACATCCAATAAAATTGGAATGATATAAAGAAGATTAACATGACCTTGCACAAGAATAGCGTGCCGAGATCGAGCAATGTCCCTGTATTCTAGTCTTGGCTGGATACCGGACAAAATTAAAATTACTTGTAAATAAGACAGTAGAAGGATGGAATCCACGACCACGAGGGACATGATTGGATAATTAAATCCACAGGAGGGGTATTATTGGGTAGCAAAAAAAAAAAAAAAACTGTTATGGTGTCCAGTCGGTTTCTTTGACTATCTGGCTTGTTAAATCAGAAAATAAAGTCCCATTAAATAAAGAGATGAAAACAGGAAACCTAGTAATTTACGCCACTCATTAATAAGGAAATTGGCAACAATGATGACTTTGGGGCTTTGGGCTCATTCGGTGTGCAGTCTGTTGTTCGCTTGACCTTTCAACCTTTTATTTATTTTTTATTAAAGAAACCTCACTATTTGAGAATATTTACTTTTTTTTTTCCAAAAAAAGAAAAGTTACTTGTTTAATTTCATATGATTCATGTACTTTCTAATTTAAGATAAGTAAGTTTTTTTGGGCTAAAAAGATAAGTAGGTTTTATTTTAAAAAAATAAAATTATTAATAATAATTGGTTGTAAGGTAATTAATAATAAAAATATACACACCCTACTTTAATTCAAGACAAATTTATATATATATAAATTTAAATATTTAAATTCCCCCCTTATTTTTCTACTTGTTTGACCTCCAGCGTTTTCATCTTAATGGCGCGTTGAGGCTGAGCGACTAATTGTCCGGCCAGCGGTCACAATAATAGTAATAATAATATCGTCCCGTCTCACTTTTAAACATTTCTGTTGGAATAAGAAAACATTAAAATTATTTATCAAAAAATTCTTAAAATTCATTAACTCTAGTTTAAAAATCAATTTTTTTAGTTTACTCATATCAACAACTAATTAACGTGATATCTTATTAAAAAAAAAGCACATCTCTTCTTCAAATAACTTAGAATATGAATAGTATCCAAGCTAATAATATGAAATCTAGAATATATGATAATAAAGAGTTGCAATGACAAACACCCTTTGAAAATCTTTGATCATCCTCCAACACTTCTTTGAGGATTGGAGAATGATGAGTGATTTTTCCCTTCTTACTAAAACTATTGAAGTGTATGCTATTTGAAGCGTAATGTGTGTTTTTAATTTCATCCAAAAAATAATCAAAAATTGATGTTTGATTTATAAAATGTGAAAATTTTCATGTTGAATTAAAAATGGATGCTTTAATAAAAAATCTCAATAAATCATATCAAACAACATAACAAATATTTTATTATGATTGGCTCAGCATAATAGAAAGCCAAGCTAAACAAGAATCTAAAATCAACAATGATTAATTTATATTTAATTATATTAACAATACTTAATTAAATTCAAATGGGATTTTAGCTTCATAAGTGTGATTATCTGTCACCTTCGTAACAAATTTCATGAATAATAAGAACAATTTAAAAGGTTGGCAGATAGAGGGGGAGAATAAGAGGGTAAAATTTGAAGAAACAGCAAAGAAAGTTTCCATTTTCATGCTTCACTTTTACTGAATGTGTGTCATGTCACTTCTCATCACCAACCGCTGATAATTCCACGCCTTCTTCTCATAAACCTCACCATTCCCACTTCTCAGAATTTCATGTGCTTCTTGTGTTCTCTAATTCTCTCCAACGGCACAGCAGCGTCGTTGCGTTGCGGCAACCCTCTGTTGTTTGTCGAAGAAGGGGTGGATTGGTCCACAAAGGGTCATTTTAGATTGGACGCAAGGTTTCATTTATGGAATTGAGAAAACTTTTTGAGGAAATATATTTACATTGGAAGATTTCGACAATGGGGTCGAACTGTAGTTTGCTGACATCCGAGAAGATTGAATAGATTTAGTGTTTCAGTTGCTTCATTGCAGGATGCGCCATTAGGCTCGTCGACAGGTATTAATTGAGACACTAAGATTTACTTTTCTCCCTTACACTAATTATGCTCATCGTTTAATCTCCGCCAAGTTTCTGGGAATCTCCCGGGTGTAAAGAAATGACGGTTCCCGTTTGTCAATCTAAACATCTTTGTCTGCTGGCTAATATGAAAACAAATCCAGCTATACAAGCTAGTTTTCTTCATCTTGCTGAATTTCCCTATGATAAAACGGACAAAGTTTCAGTCTTTCTTGCTTGTTGGGTTGTTATGTGTTCTATAAAACCATTTTTTAAAAGGAGAAAAATGCTTTTCTGGCTACTTACGATCCATATTCTTGAGAAGTTTGAAGTCAACATTGCATTTCTCACAACTCCAGTTTATTTTTGGTTGAAAAGATGTGCTTGATTTGTTTGAAATGTGGATTCTGGGTCTGTTTATGCACTTTTTTTGGGGATAACTCTCTGTTTAACCTCATCTCTACCTGCGGATTAAAACCCGGTCATTGTTACGCATTGATTCTGAACTTGCCATCTTGGTTGTTGATATATTTTATGTTCTTCTACAAATTTGCAAGGCTGGATGTGTGATTGTTATTCTCAAACCTGATGACGGAATGTGAGATGAGGGACTTCGTTTTTTTTTTTTAAATGGTTATTTCCTTTTCTTGTTTTCAGCAAGCTTAATTTTCAAAGTTTTTAACATATGTTTCACTCAATCCCCACTCTCAAAATTTTTATTTCCTTCCTTTTAACACATGTTTCATTCAATCCTTTATAAATAAGCCTGTATCTGTAGACTTTTGTTTTGACATTCATAAAATATGAGGTTTCTTCTTCCTCTCCCCCCCTGCTGATTCAACATCAATTTATGCGAACACTTTACTTGAGACACAAAATTGCATTCTTAATTGTCAAGTTTTTACCTGCAGATATTTGGCATCAACAAAATGGCATCAGGTCTAAATTCAGGAATGTCCAAGAAGACATTTATTTTTGGTTTGAAACTGTGGGTATTAATAGGAATAACAGTTGGTTTGTTCATCGTGATAATTCTCGTGGTACTAGTATGTCTTACTTCCCGTAAGAGATCCAAAAGTGTCAATGGCAAGGTTCCTTTTAGCCATATGTTATCATCAATTTCAGAAGAGATCAAAGAGATTAGAGTTGATCAAGTTTCAGCTAATAACCATTTGCAGAATGGAACTTTTATGAGTCTGAATGACAAATTTAGTGACAGGGATTCTGAGAAGGTTTTGTTCCAAACAAAAATTGGGGATACCAGCAGTCAATCAGGTTCATTTAATCATATGGAGAAAGATGCTGCTGGTTCTCAATCTGGCGAAGAAAGCAGTGCTATGACCATTTCTGCTTACCGGTCATCATTGCATCCTATGACTGCACCATCACCATTGTCTGGTCTGCCTGAATTCTCTCACCTTGGCTGGGGGTACTGGTTTACATTAAGGGAACTAGAACTTGCAACAAACAGGTTTTCAAGGGAAAATGTTATTGGTGAAGGTGGGTATGGAGTTGTTTATCGTGGTGAGCTAATTAATGGGAATCCAGTGGCTGTTAAGAAGCTACTCAATAATTTGTAAGTTTTGGCTGGAGCCTGCAGAACCACCTTTATTTTAAAATTTCAGCTCTATTTTCTAAATTTTTTTGATTTTTTGTATCAGACTATCTGCAGAATCATCAAGTTTGCCTGAAAAATGTTGATGTCATCTTGCAGAAGACAAGCTGAAAAGGAATTTAGAGTGGAGGTTGAGGCTATTGGTCACGTGCGCCATAAAAACTTGGTTCGACTTCTGGGTTATTGCATTGAAGGGACTCACCGGTACCACATATTCTGTTCTGCAGTTTGTTTGGATTACAAGCTACATTACATTATGTCTTTGCTTTCATCATTTAATAATTTGATCTATGCACCCCATAGGCTCAAAATATTTTCAATGTCTAAACGAGAAATATGTGATCAATCTGAACTGTCAAGAAATTGTATTTGAAAAGGTTATTTATTCTTGATAAATCCATTATATAATTTCAGGTTGCTGGTTTATGAATATGTTAACAATGGAAATTTAGAGCAATGGCTTCATGGAGCCATGCGGCAATATGGTTATCTAACTTGGGATGCACGAATGAAAGTGCTGCTGGGCACAGCTAAAGCGTAAGCTCATTGTTGCCTAAAGAATTAATCTACAGCATAACCTAACTTTATCTCCAATGATCTAAGATTTTATATTGCAGGCTGGCTTACTTGCATGAGGCAATTGAACCTAAAGTGGTTCATCGAGATATTAAGTCAAGCAATATTCTAATTGATGATGACTTCAATGCTAAAATATCTGACTTTGGGCTCGCTAAGTTGCTTGGCGCTGGGAAAAGTCATATTACAACTAGAGTAATGGGTACTTTTGGGTAAGATGTTTTCCGTCTTATAAAATCCTATTAGAAAATCTGTCTGCAAATCTTTCTTTCTTTTTTTTTTTCATTTCAACAGAAATTTTCCTCTTACATGCTCACTTTGGTAGCCACAGTGATGTTGAATGCTTGTTTTGTATTTTTAATCTAATATTCCGTCTAACTTTTAGGTTGACAGGCCTCTTCATGGTCATCTCTTGCTTATAACCTTATATAAAATTAATTACAATGTGTGCTTACAATTCAGAATATCAAGTGATTCTTCATGCTTGAACATCAATTTATCAAGTCTGTTTTGAAACTGAATACCACCTTAACAAATTACACGCGCATTTTTGCTTCCAAAAATGACAGTCTTGGTTTTTGTTGATTAGAGTGGTAATACTGTATTTGACCAATTGTATCTTGTCCTTGTTAGCTAATTACATTCTCCTTTTTACACACGATTTGAATTTTTCAGATATGTGGCTCCGGAATATGCCAATTCTGGCTTGCTAAATGAGAAGAGTGATATCTATAGCTTTGGGGTATTGCTTCTGGAAGCAATTACTGGTAGGGATCCAGTGGATTATGGTCGACCAGCAGCTGAGGTGTGTCATCATTAGGACACCAGTATGCATTTACATCTTTAAGTAAATTCATTGTAGAGTACCTGTCAAGGGCTAGGGAACTTTTGTTCACTATTTCATATATTCACTTGTAATTTGAAAAATAGAACTCGTGCACAGAAAATCTGTATGGATTTTTTGCTTAGTTGGTTTCTGTTACTCTCTCGTCTTATACCATTTTTCCCCTGAAGACTTTTCCTTAATATTTATTTGAATGGATGTTTCAGGTAAATTTAGTAGATTGGCTCAAGTTGATGGTAGGGAGTAGGCGTTCAGAAGAGGTAGTGGACCCCAACATTGAGACTAGACCATCAACAAGTGCCCTTAAACGAGCCCTTTTGACTGCTTTGAGGTGCGTTGATCCCGATGCTGAGAAAAGGCCAAAGATGAGTCAAGTTGTTCGTATGCTTGAATCGGAGGAATATCCCATACCAAGAAAGGTTTGGCTTCTGAATCCCGTATCTTCTGTTTCAAGTCTCCTACATGGTGTGGCAGTATTGCGTTATCTTACCTTGTTCCTTGTAATGTATAGCATTGATGCATGGTGAAGTGTTTGAAACTAAATGGTTGCAATACTGTGGCTGAAATTCAGGATCGCAGACGCCGAAGAAGTCAGGCAGGAAACTCGGGGGGGCAGGAGCAGAGGGAGGCTTCTGATACAGAAAAGAGTGACAACTCGGATTATGGGTCCAACGGCAGAATGAAGCAACAGAGCTAAAGGCAGGATGAAGGGGTAATTCTTGCATTCTTGAGCTTCTACGAGTTGTAATGCCAGCCACATTTGATAACAAAGAAATCAGGAATTAGTTGGTGTGTAGATGGTTTGGATACTCATGTATGTGTTATAACGTAGCTGTAGTCTGTAGATGTTAGGACGTAGGATTTTGTGCATGAATTGAATATGACATTAAACAATTCTATTGCACCAGTGGTGTGTACAGTCTCACGTGATTTCATTTGTTTTCATTACATATTAGGAAGATGAGACAGTTCATGAAGCAAAAACGACCGACTATGTGGTTACTGTCTTTACCGCAGTGAAGCGGTTTATTGGGAGAAATTTCTCCAGAAGTTTAGAAAGCCTGCCTTTAGTCTCACTTGGTAGCTTACGGACTCCTAGCATTAAATAGTTGGTATTTCAACATTTTTGGAAAGATCCATCATGTAACTAACTTTTGGCTTGAGAAGTTTGAGTTGCCGTCTTAGGTCTCCTTAGCATGTATTTTATATTGCCCTTCTATCTAGTGTAGGCTACATTTACAAGTGATGCCCACTATAATAGTAATAAATGCATGCGTAGAAAGATATTTCAGTAACAAGCCCATGGGTACGGAGATATTACACTAATTACATAATATTTATTCTTTGAAAATTCTAGATAATTATTGCTATCAGTTTTCATCAAAGAGTTGATCCCTCCTAACTTGTTACATCACTAACTACTTTCTTAAATAATGAGAGTCTCCATCACTCAATTCAACTTGAGTTGATAAAATATTATTAATCATACCTGTAATTGTTGCTATCACTGGACAATTTTTTACAAATTAAAATTATTTTAATTTTACTGCCTTTGGACCTATTTATAACAATAACTTGTTTCTTATAAATAAGTTTGAAAGTAGTATTTGAGATAAACTACCTAAGACAGACTGAATAAATATAAACGTGATCTCTTGAAAGTCCAATGATTGAATTATTTGATTATAAAATTTAGAAAAATGATTTTGCAATTCCAAAAGCTAAAAAAATTATACGAAAATTCTTGAGTTGCAGTACACTAAACCCTCCAATAATTTTGCCTAAAGCTTTGAAAAAATAGCTTTTGTGTGTGTTATAGAGGAACTAGCAGAAAAAAAAAAACAAAGTTTTATTAAGCATTTAAAACTAGTGGCTTAACTGTGATGGCATCTTTGCCACCTACATAGCTCAATGCTTAACAGAATCGCGCATACACGGTACTTTCAGCTCAAAGGAGCTGCACGCCACTGTCAATGATTTGTGGTGTTTTATGGTTTAGGAATACTGGTTGCATGATAGATCAAAGGGTTTGGGAATCTACAAGTTGGATGGTTGCTTTGGATGAACAGAAGAACGAGGATTGAGTAGAGGCTGCAGAGCTTTCACTACAATGCTCATATTTGGCCGAAACTCAGCTTCATATTGCACGCACAGCGCAGCAACAGCAGCCATCTGTCACAAACAAATAATACTGAATTTTAAACACCAATGTTGATCTGAATCATATTTCATCACCACAATTACAACGTAATATACCTTTGCAACAGCCTTTGGAGGGTATTCTCCCTTTAATTTCACATCCACGCACTGCTTCACCTTGTCTTCACTCAGCTTTGGCGTTGCCTAATTCATACCAATGGACAAGAATTATTCAATCTAAGCAAGTATCCTAGATACATCCATGATGTCAAAATATAGTGTTTGTGTTTGAGCCTCATCATGTAAAATATCTTGTTTCAAGTACGAGTTTTGGAAATCACAAAGACACTATGATCCAAAATGTTAACTAACTAAAATCTCTCATATCTTAAAAGAGGAAGAAAATGTTGTCATTTAATGCAGTTCAGAATATGGGCACAGATAAATAATCAGCTTACTCTGGAGCATGATAACCAAAGGTTCCGAGAACACGAGTAGAGTGGAGACGAGCAGCCGTATCAGGGGCTTGATTTGACAAATCAAAATCGGCAACTTTTGCAACATCGTCTTCGAAAAGTAGTGTGTTGCAAGACTTGATATAACGGTGGATGATATGAGTCTCTGCTTTTTCATGTACGTATTCAAGTCCTCTAACTGCCCCCACTGCAATTTTAACTCTTTGTGCCCATGACAATACTGGACCCGGTTGCGCACCCTTCACACCTTTGCGTCCTATATATAAATATACAAGTTCCAGTTCTTAATGACTTTGTTTGTTACTATAAACTTCAGATTTCAAAACTATATGCATGTTTGAATGCTTCAGTCATGTCCATAAATTGAGAAAGAAAAAATACCTTCCAATTATGGTTCAATTCTTGAAAGGTTTTTCATTTGCTACTGATTATTCTCTTATCACTCAAAAACAGGACAAATGTGCATACGTTTCTATAAGCAACAAGAAGTCAAAGATTTAACCTGAGATTCAAAGGGCCAAAAAATGCATTTCCTCAATGAGACGAAAGGTTTAACTGACCGTGCAGAATATCATGAAGAGTTCCTTTAGGAGCTTACTCATAGGCCAGGGCTCGCAAAGCACCATCAACACAATAACCAAGAAGCTCAACAACATTTTCATGCTTTAGCCTGGATACGATCGACACCTGCTAAGTGACAAATCAAAGATAATGGGGAAAAAAAATGACACCATAGAACGTGTACTGCAAAGGTAATAACAAAAACCGGACGCATTTGAACCACACCTGAGCGAGAAATTCTCTTTCTGGTTGCCTGCTGGAATCTAACTTCTTAATCGCCACGTGAGGCCCATTTTTGAAAACACCATGGTATACCATACAGTATGCCCCCTCACCAATGAAAGATTTTGTGCTAAAACTATCGGTCAGAGACTTCATTTCATCAACTGAAATGGAAGGGACAGCGATTGGTTGAACATTAACAGTATGTCGAGTGGTCGTTGGAAATTGTCCGCCAGCATAGCCACTGGTCCCTGCATCGTGTACAGGAGTTAAAACCACAACAAGCCTGAGGATTTCGTGCAGATACGTTAATTAGAGGATACACTGTTCTAGAAAGAAAGGATTTGGGAGTCGTGGATTACCAGTGGGATGGCCTTGATTTGGCACGAAGGGTCCATTATCAGCAGCCTGGTGATCATCACCTTTTTTGCAAAAGTTAAAGCAGCCCATGATCCTCCAATCTGGAGACAAGTCCACAACATCGATATTCATTAGTAAAGATCGTGGCAATTATTTTTAACGAGACTAGGCACGTATTTTCAATAAGACGTATCCTTGCCTTCCTAAGATGATAGGCAATACTAAATAATCAAAGTAACAACCGAGAGTGCCATATCAGTCCCGGAACCAATAAAGTAGTGAAATCAACTCCAGAAGAGAAATGCTCTCAGTTACGGCGCCTCCGTGACTGGATTGAAGGATTGAAAACATGTTTTTGATTCCTTAAAACTCAGAAACAACTGAGCAATCAACCAAAGCAACGCTCAGAACAGGATATAAACTGGTCAAATACACTCAGAAACCAACAATCTGAGGAGCCAAAACCGAGAGAAAGGAAAAAAACCAATCTGGGTTTGAAAATTGAAAGAGGCACCTTTACAAATGCTCAGTGATTGCGCTTCTGCGCGACAGGCAACAGAGGCGCCGGACTAAAGTGGGCAGAAATTGATCAACGGGAGAAGGGAGGAAGCGAGGGAGGGGTGGGGGGGGCGAGAGAGAGAGAGGGAGGGAGGGAGGGAGGGAGAATAAAGGTAAGAGAAAAGGAATCCTTAGAATTCAGAAGAGAAGGTTCTGTTGGTGGAATGTCAGCTTGGTTTCTTCTCAGTGACGAAATAGGAAGGGCAAGGCCGCATACCGAGACTCGCCCAGAATAAGCGTTATTTATTTCAGGCAAGGCCAGAATTCCGTTTGCAAAAGCAGGATACGCAATTATAGAGGCGGTTTGTTTTCTATTTTTAAAAATTATTTTTTATTTTTAAAAACAGAAAAAATTAAAAACTTATTTAAATAAATATTTTTTATTTAATTATTTTTTAAAAAAATTTCATTTTTTATTTTTAAAAATAAAAAATAAAAAAAACTTCAAGTTGTTTTTATTTTATTTTTTTATAATATATTACATTTAATTATTAAAAATTATAGTTATCTTAATTAATTTTTATTATTAATCATCACCACTAACTATTTATAATCATTACTATCAACTCATTTTAAAATTTTAAAATTATTTTTTAATTGATATAATTAAATAAATTTTTATTTTATTTTATGTTAAAAAATAATTTTAAAAATTGTATTATAAAATAATTTAAAACTATAGATGATAATAAAAACAAAACAAGCTCATGATATTCTATGTTGTTTTTTCTCTATTTACTTTTTTTTATATTACTCCTATCCTAAATTATAAGATACTTTTAAAAAAGTTTTTCTATCTCAAAATATAAAATATTTTTAATATATTAAAATTTCATTAAATACATCAATTTTAATATTATTTTTTTATTAATTTTTGTTTTTTTTTAATATATCAAATGATGAATATTTTAAAAAATTTATATTTTTATTTTGAAAAGATAAAATTATCAAGTATCTTGTAAGATTTTATTTAAAAATATTTTATAATTTAAAATGAAAGAAATAATAATGAATGAAATGTACATGCTACAGCCTCGTCGTGAACAAGAATGACCTTCAATTAATATCCCTCACTCCTGCTTCTTCTTAATTTATTCCCCTTCGTCTGCGCGGCCCTATCGATGATATCCATAAACAGCAATCTTCAAGCACTTGATAACTCTTCCCCTTTCTTTTAACACGCTTCATTGGAGAGCTATCTTTGTGGATCTTTCGGGTAATGTGACGTATTTATTTCCCATGAATTTCCAGAAATCTCACCTCAAAATTTGCAATCTTTTCTTTTCTCTGTTTAAAAATATAACATATTTTTTAAAAATTAAAATGTTAAAAAATATAAAATATTATTAATCTTTTAATGTATAATTATTATTTTTTTAAAGTGCCTCTATTAATAAATATTTTTATATTTATTATAAGATATTTAATAGAAATAAATATAAAAAGATAGGGTTAGTTTAAAAGTAAGTAATTATTTTATTAAAAATGAGATTCAATTAAAAATATTTTATATTTTTAAATAAGATAAGTATGTTTATTTTTTTTTCTTTAAAGTTAACTTTATTTTTATAATACAAAAAATTTGGAATTCAGAAACCGAGGAATATTTTCTTTTCGCTTAGTAAAAAGACAACCGCCGAGTATATGGTAACGATTAAGTAATTTGTGACACGCTAAGTATGGTCGGCCGAGACGAATACAACAGCTCAAAATAATAATAATAATAGTAATAATAATAATTTTGCATGCTCTTCGTCATAGACCTAATCCATCTTACCGATGCTTCGTTGTTCAACTTAGCTAGCAAGCAACATCCACGTAATTTTGTTTAGGGCAAACGATCCACGTAATTTGCTCATCAATTTCTCAACTAGAAAAGTTTGGCCGCGGCATAATTCAAGTATATAAAAATAAAAATCTGCGAATACGCATCCCGTCTTTATTACGATATGAATTTTAACTAAGTATGAGCTCTTTAATAAATAAATCAAACTATTGATAGCTTATGAAGAGTACGGCTTGTTAATTTTTTTTATATTTTAGATAACAATATTAAATTATTATACTCAACAATAAAATTGTCCCAAATAAGGTTAGATGCATTTTTTTTTATTTCAGCTTGAAATTTACGCCTGCCGAAAATGAATATTACAGGTCTTAGTACATAGGAGTTAGGATCTACAGTTTTTGAAGTAAATATTTTCTAAAATTTAAAATATAAGCATTTTTTTTTACAAAAATACATATACCAATAAAGTCCAGTTTCATAAAAATATATATTATTTTTTTATTACTTTTAATCATAATCACCAATGAATTTTATGATGAATAAAAGATAAGTACATAAATATTTAGATTAACAAATATGAGGGGTGAAATAATGTAATTTTTTTAACATGTATTAGGTTGTTTATATTTTAAATTAAGATTAATTAAAAAAATATTTATATTTTGTACAGGAGAGAGTAATTTTTACATGGATTATGTAAAAAAATTTACATAATACTACAGGATCTATAGATTTTATGGGCTTATCGTTTAAATAAGTGTTTTTTTTTTTTTTTTGGGTGCATCGCTATCCTAGGAAACAAGGAGTAGCCATGTGTAGCAGTTCGATTTTCAAACTTTATAGCATGTCAACTGAGGCGCGCTGAAATAATTGAGATGTTACAACGACAACATGACGTTAGTTAGGGGACAATTAGTTAATCAGTAAAGACCCAGACGGATTAGAATTAATCTCAACAGTGAAGTGGGATGAACAGCGTTGGTTGGTAAACGGCCTAACATGCATTGCGTCAGTCGTAAAATTATACAATTAGTGATGCATTTATTAAGATATACCAAATATACAAAAGCTAAAAAGCAAAACAGGAAGCCTTTTGCAACACGTTACCGGTGGGATGTATACGAACAAATTATGTGTTGCAGAGCAGTAGAAAGGAAAGCGAGTGAAAGTGATGAGTGATTGATGTGTCAACTTTCGGAGGGGAAGCCGGATTTGCCAGGCCCTCCCTCAGTCGGCATCTTTCGCAACTATTCCATTTACATTGCCTCTCTCTCCTTTTTTTTTTTTTATTTTAAAAAATGAATCTGTCAAAATGTCATCAATCCAGAATGGCTATGAATGGGCTGCAGAGAGGGTTGAGAATTTGCTGGAATTTAGATTCAGCAACTTGTATTTAATACAGATATTAAGTATTTAGAAACAGTGAAAGTTAAATTAAAAATTTGAATAAATTTATTTATTTATTAATATTAAGTGAAATATAAATTTATACTTATTAATTTAAATTTTTATAATTCAGAGGCTATAAACACTCAATATCTAACCGAACATAAATCCAAATATATGCTGCGGGCAAGCAAAAGCATAGGGGTAGAGCCGTTTCGTTTGGGCAAACACGTCACATTCCGCTCCTTGATACTTGAAACCATGGCTCTACTTCTGATTTCGCGTCTTGGTCAGCTGATTATATATCTGTATATACGCGCAGCAAACTTTATCATCACATTCTACTCCAATCAAGTCCACATCACATTATTTTTTCTAATTTTACTGCTTGTGCCCGAAACAAATGTGCACTTCACGTTAGAGAGAGGGAGTCAAAATCTCACTTCTAAATTAACTTGAGGCAAACTTGTCTTTTCATTTTTTCCTGCCTTGGAATTTCGCTTCCCCGTCCAGATGAAGAGTGCTCGCTAGAATACCATATCTCTCTGTTTTTTATTTTTATTTTTATTTTTTATTTTTAGGTTATATGGCAAGCAAAAGCTTGAGAATAAAGAGAAAGACGACAAAGAAAACTGGAGATCAGGCCCTAGTGGCCGTGTCTCCTATCATCTGGCCAGCTGGTTTCTTCCCTGACTATGCCCATACAAGAAATAGGTACAGAGGGAAGTGTCAAAAGTACATTCATGAGCTTCTTTAACTAGTTGATCAGGTCATCGAAGATTATCTTTGTGACTATGGTAGGCTGCAACATCCCAATCACAATGTATAAGATGACTGATGACGCACGTCCTCTTCTCAGACAGTGTAAGTGCACCAAAAATGGTTTGTGAGGAATCCCTTCTCTGTCTTCAATTTATTCAATTCTTAGGATTTAACAGTAAAAGTTTAACAGTCAGTCTTCCAAACACTCAATCTGAGACAAGCTAATTTGAAGAAATACATTAAATCAAACGCATGTCATAATTAGTCTAGCGTTGCGTGTTTCTCGTTTTTTTATTTCTTCAGTCAGGTGTACATCTTATTAGCCTAGAGTTGGTGAAACCTTATTCTATATTTCCTGAATCAAAATATAAAAAATTGATAATTAATTTATGCTTACAAAAATTTTTAATTTCTTAAAAAGAATTCACATGTTTTCCATTTTTCCTTCGTAAATACTGTAATAATAATAATTAAAATTTAAATTCATTATTTTCTTCCAAAAAAAGGTAATAAATAAAATAGGTAGATAACTGAAAATACAACTATAAAAGTTAACTAATACGCTCTGTTCTACTTCTAACTCAGGCAAGATCTTTAAAAAAAATTCCTCATATTGTGGTCGGAAAAAGTGTAGGAAAAACGCATATAACAACATTCAAAGAAAAAAATCATATAAAATTGAATACATCCTTCAACTTGAGATGATTATTACATATATTGAGCTTATGGTTAATGACTGGGGGTAAAAAAAAAAAAAAAAAACGTCGTGAACGAACACAGAACAATAAATCCGAGGGAGAAAAAATCCGAAAAAGGGAAGGGACAGGGAAGGTGGAAAATTAAATCAAACACCATGGAGATTGGAGGCAAGGAAATGAAATAATTCAATCCGCAGCCTTGTCCCATTTAAGGGGCTTGACCACCTCCCATGTGAAGTCGGGGTCATCTCTGCCGAAATGTCCATAGGCAGCGGTCTTCAAGAATCTGCCATTGCCACCCCTCTTGAGATCAAGGTTGATAGAGATCATGCCTGGCCTGAAATCGAAGTTCTCCTTCACAATCTTAAGGATCTCCTTGTCAGGAATTTTTCCAGTACCGTATGTGTCCACAAACACAGACAAAGGTTCGGGCACACCAATGGCGTACGACACTTGCACAATGCACCTCCTCGCAAGCCCGTCGGCCACAATGCTCTTTGCGGCCTGCCTCACAATGTAAGCTCCACTTCTGTCAACCTTAGTTGGGTCCTTCCCGGAGAAGGCACCACCACCGTGGGCACCCCATCCACCGTAAGTGTCAATGATGATCTTACGCCCAGTGAGACCAGCATCACCATGAGGTCCACCGATCACAAAACGACCAGAAGGGTTGAGGTGGAAGATTGTCTTCTCATCGAGGTATTTCTCAGGAATCACAGGCTTGATGACATGCTCTTTGAGATCAGCTGCTATTTCATCGTTAGTCACCGTCTCATCGTGCTGGGTAGAGATGAGAACAGTGTGAACACGAATGGGAACCATGGCACCCTTGTCATTGTAATACTCGACAGTGACTTGGGTCTTGCCATCAGGCCTCAACCAGGGGCATGTTCCATTCTTGCGCACCTCAGTTAGACGAGCACCGAGCTTGGTTGCAAGAACATGGCTCAAGGGCATTAATTCAGGAGTCTCATCAGTAGCATAGCCGAACATGTGACCCTGGTCTCCGGCACCAATTTCCTCGGGTCTTTTGGACAGATGGCCGTGCACACCCTGAGCGATGTCAGGACTCTGCTGCTCAATGTTGACGAGAACCTTGCAGTTGTCAGCATCAAGACCAACATCATCCGAAACAAACCCAATGTTCCTGCAGGTGTCACGAACAATTTTCTCGTAGTCTACATTGGCTTTGGTTGTGATCTCTCCAAAGACCATAACCATGTTGGTCTTGGTGCAAGTTTCACAGGCGACTTTGCTATCTGGGTCCTGTTCCAGGCAGGCATCAAGCACAGCATCGGAGATCTGGTCACAGAGTTTATCTGGGTGTCCCTCGTTCACTGATTCGGAGGTGAATAGAAAAGTCTCCATCCTTGTAGCTGCAGAGACACGCCAAACGGAAAAGGAAACAAATATTAGCTCAAGCGTTCACATAAGACAAATTGCCATGGTGCATAAGAATTAACAGAATCCTACGGAAGTGCCATTTTCAAACTACGGCTTTAAATTCAACCCAAAAAAAAACAAAGTTCTAATCACAACATGCTAATTGGGCCACCATCCATTTGCCAAATCTACTATAAGTCTAGCGCAAAAGCTACCCTATCATGAACTTGCCAAAAAGCCATCCCACTCCTCGTGACAGAACACACTGGATGATAGATCAAACTATTAAAGCCACAAGAATAATCCATACTTTCTGCCCCAAATCTTAACTTGCTAGCAAGAGAAACCGCAATGAACATGCATATTTGGGCAGATCTGAGAGCCTACAGTAAATCTCTCCGCAAAGCGTAGAGTAGTAACCTTTGCATAGTAACAAGTCCCAGAATGGAGTTCAGATTTCGATTAACAAACCAAAAGACGACAAATACAACTTACTTAGCATAAAACCGGTTCGAATAACTAGGATCGACCATGCTGAAGAAAAGTAAAAGTGAAACAACCCATAATTGCGAAATCCCAAAGCGAAAAAAGAGATCCCTGTTATGAATTTACTTAAAACGTTCACATAAAGCTTCACGGTAGAAACTAAGAACTGTTCGAAGCATCGAAGAAGGACAAGAGTTCGTCCACTTAAGTGAGAGGAAGGCAAGCTACCTTGCGAGGAAGAAGCAGCAAAGAGACGTGAACAAGGAAATACGCGCAGGCTGCTTGAACAGGATACTCCCCCGGGACTGCTCAAGCGGTGCAAGTCTAAACGAGGCACTGGGCATGCATTTATAGGGCAAGGATCGATGGAGCGTTCTCGGACGCGCAAAATCCCCCAAGCTGGAGTCGTCCACTTCCACGAGCGATCCGCATGGACGGCTGAGATTAGCTTCTCGGATTGATCTGATCCGTCTGAGGATTAGGAGGAGTCGGTGAGAGGAGATATTCTTGCGTACACCGCGGGTAACATACAGTTCCGCAACACCCACACGGACTTCAATTAATTTATTTATTATTAGCTTCATATTGTTATTCAGTGGAAGGCTAATAAAAAATGAAAATTTGACCTTGTCATATTGCATTATTTTTTCATTAATTAATGTGCTTCTCTAAATTTTTGACCTGATGAATACTTTATGCACGGCCACCTTCTAACTGACCTTCCTAGTTTTGACTCTCTAATCTAATGTGGCTCTCATTCGCTTTGATGATGTTTTTTTAAGATTAATCCATTTGATTACATTGCAGTCTCCATGGTCATCGATGAAAGAAGAAACAGAGGGAGGTTGGGCAGAGTGGCGGAGGAGTGTGGCCGGGCGTGTTAGTTTTCGTCTTTCGGTCAATATGATGATAAATGTTAGACATGTGGCAACACGTCAGATTTTAGATATCACGCGTATTTATTTGGCATCACTGCACTTTGTTAGAATTTGGCAAGAGGGCAGATTTCACGCTCGCTAATTGCTCTGATGATGTCGCATTTATTATTCAATGTACTTTTACTCGAATTGAAGTTGCCCAGAATTTGAATTCCAGATTCAATTTGTTTTTAAAGGAAATCAAAATTGTTTGATTTCAAATTTGAGTGTATGAAGGGGAATTGGGGCAGGAAAGACTCGAGTCATGACCAGCCAGGATTGCGACTCCAAGCGAGGGTAGGTGAATTATGGTGTGATTTCACTATCGCCAACCAACCACGTCCGCATCCAAGAAATGAAACGGACGCATCACACATTTCTTCAATTTTAAAGGTGTTATAGAATGTTTTTGAAAAATATTCTGTCATTATTCTTTATATATCATATTTAATATTATTATATAATTATTAACCATTACTGTATTGTTTATTTCTTAATTTATATAATATACCCTTCATGTCAGTAATATATACAATATTTTTTAATTTTTTTTTTAGTTTATCTTTCTCATTCCTAATAACTTTCATGGTATTAGAGTCATGGAATATTATTTTTTTATAATAAGTTAGTTTTAAAGAGTGTTAACCTTCCTTCACATCAATGTTGTCATCCTTTATTACAAGTTTAAATTCACCTCAAATCTATTTTCGTATATCCATAACATAATTTTGATAAATCAACATTTATGGATTTGTTAATTGTTAGATCATGCTGAAATTTGGTCAACAAGTACAAAACATCCAATGCGTCATTTTTAACATCAAATCGTTGATTAGTTGCTTGGTAAGAGAGTTATTATGTTCATACTATAGTCTTTGATTTAGATGTTTTCCACCCTTCATTCTCTTTTGTAAACTCTTTTTCCTTAAAAATGAGAAATTTAAAGGTTGCTCAATTTATCTTAGTTATTTTAAATGATTGCAATTACCATCTTTACTTAGAAAAATATGATCTTGCTCGACTTACTTTGAATCCTCTCTAATTAAACTTGAAACTTTATTGCACACTCATCTCCAATTCTTCTAGCTCATCCGCTGCCTTTCCTACTCATTGGTAAATTCACTTGATATTTAGACTCTATTTGCTGCAATCATATGGCAAGTCACAGAAATTCATTCTCCTCTATAACACTTAATTATATTGTCTATCCTATATACACTACTGATAATTGATATTAATATCAATTTCAAAGTTCATCGGTTGCATCATTATAGTGTCTAGTAAGGGATGGAGTCAAAAAAGAGTGTAGGAGGGAAAAGTATAATTTCCAATATCTTGAGGGGGTGAATTATAATATGTGGGAGACAATAATATAATATATGCTTCCATATATACAAATACATGCATTTTGTTTAGAAAAACTCATATACTTATTATACATGTAAAAAATTTGTTTTCAAATAAATTGAGATATATGTACTTCCCATGTTTGCAAATGTAAGACATTTTTTGAGGAATTGAATGTTTAAAAATATAAGGTAGTTTTAGTTTTTTGAGGTGTAATTATTACATTTTTTTTTCAAAAGTATCCCTATTAATAATGACTTTATATTTATTGTAGGATATTTTATAAAGATAAATATGAAAAAATAAGGTTAGTTAAAAAGTAGGTAACTACTTTATTGGGGGTGAGATTCGATTAAAAATAACTTACATTTTTAAATAGAGGAGTATCTTTTATAAATTATTTAATATATATAACACATTTTTCTTATTAATATTTTATCATATTAAAATTTACATGTCATAATTTAATTGAATAAATATATACTTCTTACGATTTTTTGGGAGGGGGTAACCCCTTTTTCTTATCATATACTTCCCATTAGAAATATAACCTGTTTTCAACAATAAATCGTATATCATCAATACATATTATAGTTTTCCCTTTTTTAGCCCAATCTTGATTTATGATAAGTGGAAAAAAAACTATAAATTTACCATAAACAAAAGAATCTAAGTTGATAAATATGATGGGTGGAATGAAAAAAAAAAACTACAAATATTAAGTTGTTTATATTTTAGATCAAGATGAATTAAAAAAAAATAACTTATATTTTAAACCAAATAGAGTAGCTTTATCTCTGGTGTATCCATATAACAAGATGACATGAAAGCATAATGTTCGTAGGAAGAATCTCAAGACTAAGAATGTGACATAATTGCAAATGGGTTTAAAAATTTTAAAATTTTAGTTCAGTCTAAGAATAAAAGTGAAGATAATTTTAATTGTAAAAGTGAAGATAATTATCAAAGTACCCTTCTTTTATTATACAAAATCACTACTTGTTAATTTTTTTACTTTACTTATTAATTTATTAATATAAGTTGCAAATTGCATGAGTTGGCATGTCAATAATTATATAAGACTTGATATCAGTTGTTCAATTATAAACAACAATATCAGTTATTAAATTACTAACTTTATTTGTTAATTTATTGATATCAATTATAAATTGTTGATGGGTCTTGTAATTTATTATCAGTTATAAATTACTAATAAGTCTTGTAATTTGTAATTGATGTTAGTAGATTAATAAGTAAAGCTACCAAAACAACAATTAATGTTATTGTTTGTTTGACAAATGGGTGTAATTTACATGAAATATTGATAAATTAATAAGAGAAGTAAGAAAATTAACAACTAATAATTCTACATAATAAATAAAAGGTACTTTAGACAATTGAAATTATTTTTACTTTTATTTTCTTGAACTGAGTTAAATTTTTAAAATTTTTGAGACCCATTAATAATTATATCACATCCATAGTCTTTATTTGAAATTCTCCCATGTTCCTAGCATGAAACTGAAAATGTAGCATTAAGAAGGATCAAAGGCCGTTGATATAGATTGGTTGAAGTGGAACTTGAGTCATGGAGTCAGTAAGGGGTATACAAAAAAGGTAGATTGGGCTTCTCTATTTGGATACATTTGTTGGGATCTTTAAATTGATAGGTGTAAAAAAGTTTTTTATATAGAGCATGTAAATGTTACTAATCTGTATGCTCTAGCTTTTTTAGAGCTTGTGCAAATTTAGATTTAGAAAAGTTAACACCTTCCTTGGTTTATGAGAACAAACACAACCAGGGTAGACCTATAGTTGCAAGTAATGCTATCAAACTTGAAGTCGATAGGTCTGTGCTTGCAAATGGTAGCAGGGGATGTGGCAGAATCATTTGGGACCATCAAGAAAGCTAGATTAAAGGATATAGCTATAAACTTACAAATGTTCCGCCAACGTTAGTTGTAATCTCCTTACTTTATATTCACCATTAACTTCAAAAGCTAAGGTAGTCAAGAATCTAAACTCAAAAAGAATTGTCAAGTTTTCACAATTAAAAATGATCCCATACGCTTTTAATTTTTAAATCAAAATTTAAAACATTTGCGGATGCATAAGTTCACCAAAAAAAAAATCTATGCATTTACGTGAAAATGAAAATCAGTAAATTTGTGCAGAAATAGAGGCATCCGTCGTGGCTTGTAAGCCTCTATATCATATGCTGCGGTATATTATACTCCCTCTGGTCTGCAATATTAAACGTTTTCTAAAAGAAAATTTTGGTCCACAATACAAGTCACCAAGAGATGATGACTGTGCATTTCACATTGAAATTTCCAAAATACCTTAAGTGGTATGACATTTCTGACGCCCTGCCTGTGTCTCATACTTGATAAAGTATGAGAGAGAAATTCTAAAAATAATAATTTATTCATTGATTGTAATTTTGACTTTTTTATTTTGAAGGGTAAATTTGAAATTTCATTCACAATTATTCTTTATATTTTTATTATATTGATATTGATAAAATTGATAAAAATAATTTATAAATAGGATTGGAAAGATTACGCATGGCAACCCATGGGGCTGACTTTTAAAAATAAAAATGACGATGATAATCATTGGTAAGAACTGGTGCATGTTTGTGAGGGGCGGACCTAGTATTAGAAGGGAGAAGTAAAGACTGGACCTCTATTCTGCGCCATCTACGTTGGTCCGATAAAAAGACTTGAAATGGTCAGACAAATATATGCATAGTTTATTAGAATTAAAAAGGAGGCATCCGTGAAATATCCCTGGTAAAAAGAAAAAAACAGAGAGAGCTATCTAAAGATTAGCCGTATAATTTCCTGTTAAAGTGGATTGAGTTAATATCTCGTCTTCAACTCTGAACTTTTCAATTCATCCAAGGGCAAGTTATATTCAATCTACGGGATTTTCAGGATTAATCATAAGTATTTTGAATAGCTAATTGAATTGTTTGGAAGTTCCGGTTCCCTCTTCATCATCTGGGGATAAACATTTGTACTAGTCAGGTTACGGATGATAGGAATTAGCTTTCCATTTTCTTTTCTTTCAGTATTTTCCCCATTGTCGTTTGTTAATTGCAATCGCAGATTTTATCACTTGCTCGTTGATCTTTACACAAATTGAAAATTGGAAGGAAAAAAAAAAAAATACAGACCAAGGGAATGGGGATCTTTCCATACAGTGGAAAATGTGGGGAGAATAGTAAAATACAAGCAGCATGGTAGCAAACACAGCCAATACTTGGAACCTTATAAGAATGTCTTTTGGTCCTCTAATAAACGTGCTCGCTGCATCCTCATGGTCTGTGGAAGAATTCTGCAAAAGAAACGAATAGAAGAGTTAACCTCGAAAGCCTTAGGCACGTATATATATTACATACTCTTGGGATCGAATGAAAGCGTATGCCTGTATCATTGATTCCATGAATTGCCCCATCACTGTTGAGAGTTGTAAAACATTTTGGTAAACGTGAGAATAACTTGTTCAAAATCAACTGCTTTACATAATGGTGCCTGCATCGACACAAACAGAAAGGATGCCTGCTAAGTCAGGTGAAACAAGCTGATTCATGAGGATATTTTGCAGTAACGAGTGAAAGTAACCAATATTTCTTAAACCAACAAGCATGACTCAGGCAAAATACAGCAGCGTAGGAGTCGGTTCTGCTTCCATGTTCTAAGCTGGTGGTCTAGCGGTGTGGGTTATTAGCAGCAGAAGATTTGCAATACTGAACAAGCTTGTCATTCTCCCGAGAAAGAAGCCGTTCACATTGTGACAGTCTCCTAGTGATCCCAGCACTATCCAATTTTTGAGAGCTCCTATCCTGTAAACGAGAAAACGAAGGGCACATGAGTGAGAACTGCGAAGTAACTGTTGCGGCATAAATAATGAGTCAGCATGCCTTAATCTTTGACGAGTGTTGGACAAGTTGGTTATCTCTTGTTGCGGAAAGAGTTTTCACCATATCATCCAGTTCTGCAACCTTCTTCATGAGACTGGTCTTATCCATCTACAAGAAAAACGGCGAGAATTGATAAACGATGCTTCATCATAAAATAAATTAATATTTACTGGGGGCGAATATTACAATTGAAAAGTTTTGAAATATGTGATATTTTCAACCTTCAACATTTCCCTCTGTGCTGAAAGCAATTGATCTCGCTCTTGGAGTCTCTGTAAGGCTATTTGGGAAGCTATTATATCTGCATCTTTACTTCTCATCACCAATTTACAGCTGAGTGACATGATGAATGAATTGAGAATTATGGCTAAGAAAGTCTGGAGCCATTATAACCCCTGCTTGTGCTCTTAACTCATAGAATGAACTTATAATTCAAACAGAAGGATGCTTCTGTTTAATTCACAATTTGGAAGCATCCCTAGCAAGTGACTAATAAATGTCAAAGTTCCTTTTAGATAATAAGAGGAAACTCTTCCAAATGCCCCCATACACGGATGATAGTAGCTAAAATATTTGACAAAGATGCTCGTGCAATCATAACTATTCCAGATAAAAGGCAATCAGATCGCATTACATAGGAGAAACGGATTATTAAAACATAATTTCATTATACTAACCTCTCTCTTTCTTCAATCAGTTCATTAATCAGCAGACTTTGGTCCTGAATCTCTTTTTCCTAATAAAGATAAACGATAATTAAGATGACGCATAGTAAAATAGACAATACGTCATGGTTTTGGCATCAAGTACCTTAGCAAATAACTCCACTCTTAAATTATGAGCCTCTTCCACTAATTTCAGAATCTGGTTTTGGTCTACCAAAGTCTAAAATGCAAGAAGAAAAAGGTTAAGGGAAAGGGAATGAGAAACTGCAAACGAAAAACTCTCGTTTATAAAAGATGAAACCGAAACTTACTGCGTAGTTCGTGAGGTCCATTTTGACACCTAGAAGGTCCCGAATGACATCATGGGTCATGCTTTCGGTAGCAGCCAGCCTTGTTTGTAGCAGGCATACCTGACAGATATGAAACACAATCAGCACATGAGAATTTTTCGGTTAACAACATCCAAAGATTCTATTTGAATTCAAATGCTATGCACACATCCAAATTGAGAGTATTATAGAATCTGGATACGGAACTACATGCTAAACAATTTTCAACTACTTATGATTCAAGTGACCCTCAAGAGAACTTCAATGGAATCATTTAACTTTTGTATCAAAACTTCATTTTTCCTTTTCTTTCGTTATAAGATTTATAATTATAATTCTTATCATCTCCGCATGAAGATTATACGGGAGTTTGGTTTTCAAGAATCTATGCAGTGATATGGCAAAAAAAAAAGAAGAAGAAGAAGAATATATGCAGTGATAGTGAAGGGGGAGAGAAACGATCTGACCTCCTTCTGCCGGCTAGCTGCTAGTGCTTCTAGTTCCTCCACTCGGAGATTTGCCACAGACAATTCCTGATCTTTCTCCTGATTCATCTGCTGAACAAGATTTGAAATGCATCTGAATGGTGAGCTAGAACCTCGTGCCCTCATTGAGCTTTTCTCGACCTTCTCCAATGGTGCTGTTGATGTTAAATTTGACATTTCCTTTTTCACTTCACGAAACATGGACTCCAGGGTTTTGTACTATTAAGGATGCGGAAGCAAAAGAGAGTGTCAGACAAGCATACCAACTAGATGAAATTTACTGCTTGGATTCGAAAAAATACAGGTATTCTCAACAAAATTGGAGCCAAAAAGTTGCTGGAAGAATGTTATCTTAATGTGCTTTTACCTTCTGTTGGTGCTGCGAGGCCTGAGCTTCCGCATGCAATACGACTTCAGATATGTACTCTTTCCATTGTTTAATCTTTCAAAATATGAACAATGTCAAAATTCAAAACTTGCATATGATTCAACTGCCCTTTATTTTCAGGCCAAAAAAAAAATGCTTTATGGAAGATACCTGCTTATCTTGTTCGGCCTTTTCCTCTTCAAGAATTCTTATCCGATTAAGTGCCTCATGAAGTTCCGTTATTCTACGGGATGGTTGTCTGCATCAGAATTTTTTGTTGGACATTCAGATGTTTAAAACCAACAACCAACAATACTGTTAAGAAGAGAACAATTATTAAACCCTGAATTTCTACAAAAATAAATCAAGAGAACAATTCTAACCTAGACATTTGCTCTTCAGGTTGTTGAACTTTGATGATATCTGAATCTGCATTTTGGGGTAAACTGTCAACTGCTTGCAGTCTCTCCTCCAAAGCTTGGAGTTTCTTTTCTAGTGAATCCCTAATTAAATGATGTCTTCCCACCTCTTCATCCATTTCATACACCTATAGCGATAACGGATTTTATTCATTAGAAAGATGATCTGATCCGGAATAAGTGCTTCCGTAAAACACCAAGTATATTTATTTTGCCACGCCATCTTAAGTGTCAAGTACATACGATAGTAAATATTTATAACATGACATTGATCATTGTCCCAAGACTTCCCATACACAGTAATAATACATGCAACTAACCTTTTTCTCTAAAACATTTATGGTACCCTCAAGCTCCTCAACGGAATGTTCAAGAATCTTGACTTCCTCTTCCTTCTGTTCAGCATAGAGCTTACTAGCCTCTGACTTCTAAAAGTGAGAATTAAGATTCACCAAAGGAAATTCCATCTATTAATTTCATTCGACAGGTGAAGACCCCAAGAAAAAAAAGAAAGAAAGAAAAAGGAAGTGTCAATGGCTTCTACCTGACGGGCTTCTATGGCAATGGCTTCCTTTTCGTCAGCCAATGAATAAGCCATCTCAAGTTTGTCATTTAAGACAGAAACTTCCTCATGAAGCTGGTCTCTCTCTATGATCGCCTTCCTTAATTCATCCTCAATGCCTTCCAGCAAGGAAAGTGAGTTATTTTCCAGTGAAGAGGTCAAGTTAACAATTTCTTTCTCCAAACCTTTGATCACATCTTTCTGTTCATTCAACTGCTCCTCGGCTTCAGCCTTTTTAGCATAGAGTTCTTTCAAAATCTCCCTTAACTCAGTATTTTGATCTGAAAGTTTGCCGATCAATTCTTGAGCAAGCTTAAGCTCGTGATTTGAAGTGGATAAGATCCTTTCAGTTTCAGCAAGAGAACCTTCAAGTTTTCTATTCTGTACCAGAGTGTCTTCCAGATGATTTGTTTTTATCTCAAGCTCATATCGAACTTGGCTCAAAGATGTTATTAACTTTTCAGTCTCCTCCTTAATGTCTTTTCCGTTGGAAGCTAACTCCTGCAACAGCCTAAAGTCAAAAAACAAACCCTCCAGTAGCTCTTGTTTCCTCTCTAATTCCTTTTTAAGGGCCATATGTTCATACATTAAATTACTATTGGGCAAGTCCTGCTCCTCTTGCAAAATTTGGCCTGCTTGATCTCTTTTCCCCGAGCCTTCATTACTTGTAGCCATGACAGACTCTGCACTGGGGCAAACTTCCAGAAACTTACACAATTTCTCTTCTTTGGTTGATCGGAAGTTATGCTTTACCCTAAAGAAGGGGAATTTACTCACAAGCTCCGTTATATAGCAATTTTTTAGTACGAAAGATACAAATCTTTCCTCCATAGCCCAAGAAATTATATCTTCTAGAGATGTTCTTAGGCCTTTTGTGGAGAATATCATCTCCCCCTGAGTCTGCAAAACGTTAGAAAAAATTGAGACGAATTTCTTCTCAACATCTGTTTGCACTTGCAAAAAACACTCTTCAAGTATAGAAACTGAGTTTGCCATCTCTGTCAAACTGGAATTGATGTGATCCTTCAGTAACTGGTTTTCTTCTTCTTTACGGCATATTGAAGATTTAAGTTTCTGAATCTCGTCTGTCAAGCTTGCTCTCTCTGTCATCAGGTTTTCATTTGCCTGCTTCCATGTAACACTCAACTGTTTTGCATCTTCATATGCCTTTGTCAAAGCATGTAGCATAAAATCTGCTTCCTTAACCGTTGCATGAGCTTGCTCAAATTTGGTCAAGCCATCATCAAGTCTCGCTGTCATGTCAACTAATATCTGAAATATAGGTAAACAACCAAAGAATATAAAAGTGCCTGCTTAGTTAAAATTCTGATGTCGAGCAGTGTTAAGAATTAATAATTATTAGATTATATAACTGTTCTTCAGTCATTTTAGGAGAGTCTGGCTATTAAAAGGAAGTTGGGTACCTTTGGATCATTTTGGTTGCCTGCCTCAACTTTTTGAATCATCAACTCACAAGGAGTCTCCTTTCTTTGTTCTGTGATTCAATAACATGATTAAGACCTTTCTAGTAATTTCAGATGACTGGATACAAAAGGAAGTTTCTTAATCAACAACATTTATAAATGGAAAGTGGAAGAAGTAGAAATGGAAGGAGAAGAGTAAATTGCTACCTTTTATGCAAGAACAACTTCCATCATCCAATTCTTTAAGAAGTTCAGAAAAATGAACATTCTGCTCATTAAAAGCTTTGTACGTGGCATATAATTCTTTTCTAAGAAAGGATGCTGCTGCTTTACTTTGGATTGATATCTTCACATGATGATCTGTATTTTCTGATTCTTGATTATCAGCTTGAATTTCAGATTTTGGATTCGCTATCTGTTCAGTTATTTTTCCAGGGAACTTTATTCCACATTTACTTCTGGATCCACGCAATATGCTTCCAGAAACAATGCTCTCAGTTTCAGTTGATGAATCGGAAACTGAAGAACTATCAGCACTCGATGCATCAAAATCCATGAGATCGTTGTCTATTAATGAGCAATTAGACAGATCCATTTCTGTGCTAGTATAATTCTGTATGATGCTCAGTTTTATATTCATGTCAACTAGTTCCCTTTGTATCTGATGTAGTATGTGAGGCCAGTCTTCCAACTTCAGAAATTTGTTTGTATCTGCTATGAGGGTGTCAGCCGCACAACATGCAGAACTGTTATTGTGCATATTTAAATCCTTTATTTTTATTCTCGTATCCTGATTTTGTTTGACAGGGTCCAGAACAAAGTCCCTACTAGCAGGAGAAAGGCTGAAGGCACTTGTTTGGAAATCGGCCATATGCATTTCTCTATCTTCACAAAAGGCTTCAGCAGCAGCATTCATCTCCAGTACTTCTGTTTTCGTCAACTCAACTTGAGCCATGAGTTCATTTGATATGAGATGATTCCTATCACCTTGCTCCTCAAAAATGGTCTGACTACCCAGCTTACTGTGCACATCCTGTTCAGGGATCGAAATATCTCCTGCTAAATCATTTGTATGAAAAATATTTTGATTATCAGAAAGCCATCTCACTAACAAAAATGCAGCGTCAGCTCGTTTATCTGCTTTTCTAAGCTGTTCATCTTTACATTTCACTTCATTTTCTAAAAACCTTAACATATCGGCCTTCTCATCCAACGACACTCTTAACTGAACGGAGTCTTCATTGTGTAATTGTTGAAACGCACTTAAGGTTGCAGTTGCTTCTTTTAAGGAACTTACCTTCAACTCCATGTCCAATACCATCTTCTGTGCTTCTTCCAAGCTACGTTCCAGCTTCTGAATTGTTTCCTCCTTCTCCATATGGCTTTTGACAGCCATGCCGATGTGTTCAGCAATCCTAGCGTTTCCTTCAGGAAATGAACCAGTGATGCTTTCTACTTGGCCACAGGCATCTCTGAGAGATCTAGAGCCATCTAGAAGAAAGGTTGTTAGCTCAAAGATTGCTCTTTCCCACTCCAAACACAGTGTCCTAATTTCCTCCTCTTTTGTAGCTACCATATTCCTTAGCTCTGTATTTTCCCGAGCAGTGGAACATAACCTCCCCTCTAAATCTGACTGAAGATTTGCAATCTCTTCCTGCAAATGCAAAATTGTTCTTGTTGTTTCCATCTCAACCTCGTCGCAGACTGATTCAATCTGGTGTTTTTGGGATAACTGAAGCGCCCATTTTTCTTGGTATTGGTCGTTAAGCAGCTTAACCTCCTCAAGATCCTTACTCATTCTTTCCAGTTTGGCTTCCAACATTTTCTGCCTGTTTTCTTCATTATTATTAGTGAGCATTTCTGAGGCACCTAAAGCATGTCCTTCGACATCATCAACTGTCCAAGTATTGAATGCCATCTCATTTCCAAAATCACTTTTCAGAGATACTGTACCAACCTGTAAAATATAAAGATAATGGACTTGATCATTAAAGAAAAAAGGACGTATCCGTATATTCTTTGACTAGTTTCACCAAACCCTAAATATAAGTTCCTGCTTTTGATATAGTGAATAATAAATAATCTAAGGAATGAAATTATTAGATATCCTCCGGTGGTAATTTTGTCAACAAATAATATACGCAAGATGTTTCAGTTATTGCTCAATGCTTAAGACAAAATTGCAAGGGAAGAGAGTAGTATCTCTTTTCTTGCTTCTCAAATTTAAAATCCTGAAATGTCTATCATATTCATCTTGAAAATACAACGCATTCAGAAGCATATAGAAGCGATCATCATATGTGTATAATATGTTTCTGCAAAAAACTCTAATAAAAACCTAACTGCTTTAAAAAATATGTTGAGCTGAAAATCATTCTTATATTTATTCTCACCAGCGAACATTTATCAGTCTTCATCAGTTCATTTGGAAGCTCAAATGAAGAATTTAGAACCTACAAAAATGAAGAATGATTAAATATGAAGAATTCAGCCACATGCTGAAAGAACTTTAGATATATCATAAGCAATTCTTACAGAATCGGACTTTGCTTGGTCGCAGCTAATATACTTTACAAGTTCTGTTTGTAATCTATCTACATCGCTGCAAAATAAATTAAGGAGAAAGGTAGAGATTAGAAAATTTAAGTCCAGCTAGACATTTCCGGCCTCGATTTATTTAACTTTGTCATTTCTAATGAGGAAACAAAGCAATGGCATAAATGGCCGAAACAGTCGTTTGGAGAATGAAAATAAGTTATTATGGTTTCTAGAGGCACACTGCCTACCGAAGCAATTTAGAATTCATGATCTGGCAATCTTCCAACTCTTGTTTAGTATCATTATCCTGAAATCAAAGAGTAACCGGCTAAAAATAGGACACTTAGAAAAGCTAAACTAGAACTGCATAATTATTAATTAGTAGATTATTTGACCTGGCTTTCATTTCGCATTGAAAACGTGAGTTTTTCTTGAAGGCTGACAACTAGCTGCACATGAAGCACCGGTTTCAGAAATCCATAATATCGATCATTGAGCAAGGTGAAATTACCTTTTAGAAGAGAATGGGGAAAACGTTAAGATCTACTTAACATGATCGCGTAATTGGGAAAGTTCTGTCAGCAATCTTTCTCGCTCTCCATGCTCGTAAAAGTCTTGGAACCTGGTCATTAATGCAACTTGATAATTGGCTTCCAGCAAGCGGATAAGAGCATAAGTTCTCCATTTAACTTACTGTCGCAGTTGGTGTAAAATTCTATCATTCTCCAAAGCAAGCCTGGTTGTCTCTGTGTTGTTCTCAATCCTCGCTTGAAGCTCCTTAATCTCCTTTTTCAAAGCCCTGTTTTCCTTCGAGAGGTGCTCCTCGGGCGACAAGGCACCATCTACTAATAATTCAAGTTGATCAATTTTCTCCTCACAGAACCTCAACTTAAATGCGGTATGTTGAGTATCCTCTTCCCTTTGCCGAGCCTACAGAGGACAAATGGATTTTAAGCTCGTGAGATCAATCATCATAGGTGCTTAACCACATGACAAAGCAACATAAATTTGGGCAGCGACATCTCTTAGTGTTTTTAGTGCGACTAAAGGGAGGAAACCTGAAAAAGGAATTTGTTTACCAAAAGTGGACATACCAAGCGGTTCAGGCGTTCGATTTCAGCATTTAAATTCTGAATTGCGATCTCAGCCAGTTTTTCTCTCCTCAATGCTCCTAACAAAGTAGCTTTCATGCATGTCATCTGCCAGATATAAAACACCTCTGACATCATTGGGATACAATCCCTTGAAAACTAATAAAGCTCTTGATACCAAGAGCCAACTAACCAGAGAATTTGACATGAAAATTACCTCTTTGGTTTGAAGACACAGCTTGTGGCCCATTGTTGCCTTCTCCATGAAAGAGTTGCATCCTTCTGACAATTCACTCAACCTATGAAGCTCAGGATATGGCTCCAAATTTGACGTGAGACTCCGAAAATTTTTGTGCTTTATCAGAAAGGATAATTGACTCTGTTCAATTTCAGTTAACAACACAGTTGAGGCAGCTCTGTGAAGTGACATTTCTGTGGGAAACTTTCAACAACATAACTATTACTGTCAATACCTTTAACTGTTGGATTTGCCACTGCAGTGCATTTATGTCGCCTGAAGTGCCTTCGTTTACTTTTACCTTTTTGGAGGACGAGGAAGAAAATCAAGGCATCTCTTATCAATCAATAGAAAAGAAACTTCATAATGATATGCATGTGTGTAAAATCACTGGGTAGAATGAGTAAATTGTTTGGGTTAAAAGAAGAAGAAGAATGATTACATTGTTTTGAACCAGCTTGGCTCGCTGAGCAAACTTCAAAGTACTTAGCGTTTCATTTGCGGAGCTGCATGAGCAGCAAAATATATATTAAGTATTTAAGGAAACAAAATAAAGGGCAAAAGACTATCACCTCATTTCAATAAACAGTTTTCCACAAACCAAATGGATGGGCTGACATTTGCAATCATCACTGTTTTTGAGTTGCCCCCGAGAGAATCCTGTATATAAATTTTTCAAAATAGAATAATCGTACTACATAGAACATTGTGTAAAGTTGTAGAATGTAGTTGCCAAGAAGAAAAATTCCTGGCTTTCAAAGCTCTATGAATGACCTGAAGAAGAAATGTAAGCCGTGAATCTCGATAGGGGACATGTCGTGGTTTCCCATGCGTCAGATCCACCAAATTCATTATGACCAAGCTATGTAGACCAAATAAAGGAATAATAAAGATCAATCTAGTTTAGTCAGTACTGTATTTGTGCTCAACACGTCACTGCAGTATATGAACAACAAATAAAAAGCAGGTCCTTAGTAAACTTACCCAAGTGTAGACAAGGATTTATTTATATTTGCTGCTTCTTTCAATCGTTCACTATCTGTGCCAGAGCTCTTCTGCCTACATAAATGTGGAAGTTAAAACAACTGTACAGAGGATACTGACAGTATGCATAGAACACTATGATCATAAATCAGTGCTTACCTTTCAGAACCAGCTAGATCTACCAAATTTAACCTTGCGAACCTAAAATGAGTCATAGAATCTTTCTCCCAACGGCTTTCAATAATACAAGTGAAAACGCTGTGAGACCGACTGCTCTTACAATTCATATGAGTTGCGGCCACCTTTCTATTTGCAGTGCCCTGTGTAAGCAATTATGTAGGATGATGTAAGTATGCCATGCATGGTCAAGCACTAACCTATGATATCAATCTAGGTTGTAATTTTACACGTTTGAACAGACCCCACCTGTAACACGAGCTTGAGAACATCGCTCACAGTTCCCACACTATATTCAGAAAGGTTTTCAACGTATACCCCCTTCTTTGTATCTTCTCTGAGCTACAGAGAAAACAGGACGTTATAGGCTCAGTTATTTAGAATGTGAACTAGATCTGGAACAAATTAAAAAATACAAATTTTGGATTACTTGCAGATTAGTGGATGAAGGCTCTAAAAGATCTGTTATTTGCTCATTGTATATCTCTAAAAAGGAACATTTGCAACTGTATCTCAGTTTATCATCCCTTCTGCTCTCTTCTTCCTACATAACGGAACGTGTTTGATAAACTCAATGTCAAAAACAACAGTAATCCAGGAAACCACATCAAACTGGTATAAAAATCATTCAAACAGAAACGTGTACATTCTAAACATCTCACCAGTTTAATTCTCATAAATAAAAAATCAAAAACTCTTGGCGTTATCCCGCTTTTTTCAGTTAGGTGTCCTTCTTCCTCTTTTATCTCACCCATCATTGTATACGTCTTGCCGCTGCCGGTCTGCAGAAGAAGCTTTAAGTTCAGCTGCAAGACAAATGAAATAACAACTAGAAAAACAAACTGCCCGAAACGCAGGCTCATCGCTCATACCTGACCATAAGCAAACATACAGCTATTATAACCAGACAAACAATTCTCGACCATGGGCATCCCAGCAACTCTGAACAGATTTTCCTGCACCAATTTATGCAGTAAGCATATATAAGAAATAAACATTCAATATGCTCCTTCATTTGTTGATTTTCCAGGCCTCTTGAGCCACAATCGTGATATATCTCTTTGAACAACCACAACCGTGATATACCCCTTTGAACTAATTTGCAATTCACTTCGAAAACTGAAAGAAGGCATCTCTGCCATGTTAAACAAAACAAAATTCACGTTGATTGAGAATTTTTTTGGTTATGTCGCACCTGAGATAATGTCTCGCATGCTATATGATCAAAGGTGAATCTGGTTTCAGGATGGCCAACCCAAACCAGAGTCTGCGCAGTTTCCTGTCTCAAGCACCGGCCATGTCCTTGTGAAAATTTCTCAATATTATTTAGGGGTCGAATTCTTATCAGTACCTGAAGGCATCAACCACGACTCACACTCAAGAAACTTGATGAAATAAGATATCAGGCACTGATTATGACAAGAAAATCAATCAACAAAACCTGCACATTATGATCCATCCAGAAAGAAGGGTCTTCTTTGAGCTCGAAATGCTGAACCTCCTCGGAAAATTCTGAGTTTGCAACTGAAACACCCTTAAAAAATGTACCGGAACTCCCTGCTTTTCCTCCTCCTGGGTATTGAACTCTGGTGCCAGGACAAATTCCCCCTGCGCCACCAAGTGAAATTCTAGAGGCATTTCTTGCCGGGGTGCTTTGCGCAGAGTTTGGCTCCGAATTTGCCTTTCCATTACGACCCAAAAATCTCGGAGTCCCATAGTTCAAGCTGAGGTTTCCAAACCTATCGGATGAAGCTTCACATCTTTTATCGGATGATCGACCCGACCGAGCTTCGAGTTTGTAATGAGAATTAGCATCAGATTCTTCAGGCTCCTTTTGGCACTGCCACGGGTCTGGTATAGTGTTCAAAGGGGTTCTCGGAGGTGGGTAGTTATATTTGTTTTGTGAGGCTTCAAACTCATTCTCGTTTGCTTCAAATTGAGGGTTCCTCGATGTGTTCCGACCTAGAGTTCGAGTAGAGCTTTCTTTAAACATTCTGTTACTCGAATTTTGCTTGTAGATAATGGACCTGTAGTCTTCAGATGACCATCAGAACTTCCGAAGCTCGGAAACCAGATGCAGTGCTGAGGGTGACGAATAAATAAATTATAAAACCGGAGGCCCGCCTGTTTTCAAATCAAACTGAAAATTTACGGAGATACCCTCCTACAAATGCAATTATTGATATGACCCCCAGACAGATTTGAATTTTAAATTCAAAGTCTAGTTCGGAAGCAAACAAGCAAAGCACTAAGCAGGCAGGGCCGAAGAGAATCCTACTGAATAGTGATTATTTATTTTTATTATTTGCAGTGTAATTTTGTTTGAAACACAGCTAAATATTAAATATGAGTATTTTTTTAATTGAGATTCAAACCTCAGTTTGTCACATTATAAAAGATTAGCCCATTTCTCTAAATGTTACCCCATTAATAAATAGTGATTAATTTTAATTTCACTGATGATGAAGTAATTTGTAGATCCCACCTAATTTGTTGGATTTTCTTTTTCATGTAATTTAAAATTAAGATTTAAAAGTTGGCTCCATGCTAACAGATGCTCCTTAAGATGAGAAGATTGCTGATTCTTTTTTTTTTTTTTTTTGGATAAGAAGAGACTCCAACTATGGGTCATGAGTACAATAATGGGTATCCTTATTTAAAACATGCAAAAAGCTAATAGCAAGAGAACTAATAGTCGTGTAGCCAAGTTCTATGTCTAGTGCTTGTTGAACTAAATCATTAGCTATTGCATTTGCAGTACATGGCAGATACATGAACTTAAGCTCCCGACTTCGTTTCCAAAGCTCATTTATATCTCATAAAATATTAGCATCAGGATGAGCAGTATTGTCCTCCTTATAAATTAGTCAAACAGCCTGAGAGGAATCTAATTCAATGATCACTTTATAATAGCCAGCATCCCATGCTAGACAAGTGCCAAGGAGTATACCCTAAGGTCCTGTTTGGTACGTGAGCTTAAATTTAAAGGGATTGGGATTGAGAATGGGAGTGGGAGTGGGAATGAGGCTTTAAAATTATGTTTGGTATGTGGTAATAATTGTAGGGAATGCTTATTTTTATTTTATTTTATAATTAAACATAAATGATGAAAAGACTATAATACTCTTTATAATTAATTAAAAAAATTGTAACCCAGAGCCCTCTTTTCTCTATGTCGATCAATCTTTACCCTCCTTCCCCCTCTCGCCCTGTTGCCGTCGAATGTGGTTCCTTGGTCACTGTCCTGGACAATCGTGGTTCCTCGCTAATGGATCGGCCAAATCATTCCCCACTAGCTCTCGCTCTCACTCTCATATGCATCTCTCTATTACCTCCTCCATCATTCTCCTTCTCCACACAGATCGAAAGTCGATCCGGTAAGTGCGTCCTTTACTCTTACCTTACCTCCTCATCCTCACTTCTGACACTCAAGTAGTCGTATGGGTTCTTGGACTCTAGCTTAATGAGCGAAGTCTGGAGCTTCTCGTCTTCTTGTTCTCTCATGTCACGACCTTATCAGCCCATTTTTGATGAGCTATAACATTCTCTTTGGTGGCCTCGCTGACGAGTCGAATACGCTTTTAGCTCGATTGGTGCCTCCCCATGATTTTTTCCCCTATTTTTCCCCTATTTTGAATTCTGTAAAAGTATTAGATTGCACCCAGATTTTCATTCTGTTGCACACATTTCTACGTCTTCTGGTGTTGGAAGGAATTCTAAGGAACGCAAGATTTCCAGCAGCCAACCTCTCTTAGATTGATTTCCAGCAGCCAATTGGAACATGGTTGCTTTTATGGCCTTATATGTGGTAAGAATATTTATTTTGATTTTGATTTTTTTTTCCTTTTTCCTTCACAAAGGGATTCTTTGTCGTTAACGAAGCATGGGGATTCTTCTCATAGAGTTTTGATGGCCAACTTGACAACTAAGTTAATACATGCACGCAGAGTCGCAGATGTTTGGGTATAGAGCATTGTTACCTAATTGCAAACTTAAATGCTTATTTATGAGTTGTAAATCTTATCAAACTGTAAATTTAGTTGCAACTAAAAAATAACTTGATAGATATATCATATGATTTGACAAAATACTCCAGGTATAATTTGCTAAGTTGATGATTTTTTTTAAGTTTTAACCATGTATTTATTTACAGAAACTTCTTTGGTAATTATTACTTTGTTTACTTTCCTATGTGAACATGATGTTGGTTAGTTGGAGATTGGTTCCTGTTGTTGTTGCCTTTGTTGATCGTTTTCTCTCCTGTAAAAAGCATTCTTGGTTGGGAGAGCGTTTACTTCAGAAATTTGATGAGCATTTGCTTCCAAAAATGATAATGGATTATAAGTTGGTTTCTTACTTCCCATTATTTGATAGAATTGCTAAAAACGAAACAATACCTCCACTCAGATTGTTGGAGCTGCTCTCAAATTTCATGTTTTTTCCTTGTGGAGAAACATGGCCCAAATACAGGAATGAAATCTTGGTCCCATGGAAGTAGGGTTCTGGGGATTTGTTAGACCATGCTAATTCACCAACATAGTTCCAGATTGTTCCTTAGATTATCTCATATGCTTGCTTTTACTTGTCTCCATTATCCTGATTTGGAAGTTCGTGATAATGCAAGGTATTTTTGTTTATAATTGTTTTCCCCTTTTGTTGTTGTAGTGGTTGTGCGATATCTTTTCAGCATCTTTCATTCTTGAAGTTTAAAATAGCTTGAAAAAAGTTCAAAGGCCTACAAAATGGCCACTCACCTATTTTAATGTTTTCTGTGGCTTATTTTGCAGAATCTACTTGCGTATGCTAATCTGCATTCTAAGGAAGAAGCTTAGAAACATCTTGAAGCTTGGGGACTTGATTCTTGGCATCTCACCATCTTCACAGTCAACTTCTTTTTATAGTGTCCCGTCACCTCGACTTTTTAAAAAATTCAAGACATTTGGGAACTTATCATCCTGCATTCACCTTGAACGTGTGACCCTTTTGCTTGTTAAACAATTTTGGTCATTGTCAAGTTTTGGTGTTAGTAACAGCAAACCTTCTTACCTGGAGGGTGTCAAGGACAGTGAGGCCCCTGCTGAGGAAACTAAATCTACCAAAAGTTCTAGTGCAGAGATTATTTTTGAAGTGGGAAGAATTAGCCAACCACGAGAGCCACTACGCATGATGGATTCTAGAATTGTAGAGATTTTGAACACATTGAGGAAGTACTTTTCTTTCATTCCTAACTTAAGATATATGCCAGGACTCAGAGTTAGAATACAGTGCAATTTGAGACTTAAGTCTAGTAATTCCATCCGCATGTTAGGAATTGATACCACTACTTCACCCGTGGAAGAGATAGATGCCCTTCCCGCTATTTATGCTACTGTGTTAAAATTCTCATCTTCGGCACCATATGGGTCCATTCCATCTTATCACATACCTTTTCTTCTTGGTGAACGTTATGGTAATGATGCATCTCAGAATCTCTCATTAAGCGTTGTACCTGTAGAAAATGGTACCAGAGAAGCGGATAAATTTAGACCTTCAGTGGTGATCGAATTGGAGCCAAGGGAACCAATACCTGGTATGGTTGATGTTCACATTGAAACTAACGCAAAAAACGGCCAGATCATTTAAGGTCAGCTTCAAGGAATTACTGTAGGCATAGAGGACATGTTTTAAAGGCCATTGTTCCACCAGACATAGCACAAGATGCAATACCTTACTACAAATTAGACTTGTTCCTTGCTTTGTGGGAGGCATGTGGGACGTCCTCCGACACTGGGCTGGAGACCTTTCCATTGAAAGGAAGCAAAGGAGTTGCAACCATCAATGGCAAATTGATTACCTTCTGGATTTATATTCAAGCCTTTTACAAGAAATATGGATGCTATTGTAATCCTTTTATAAATTCAAGTACAAGAAATATGTTGTATTATGCATTAATATTTATAACTGAGGCTATTATACAAGTCACAGATAGTATTGATCAATCTCAAAATACAATCAATGCTGTTGCTCAAGGCATATGTAAGATAAAAGGCGAATAAAAAGAAATCCAAGCTTTTGTTTGGCATATATTCATATATTCATAGTTTGGCAATTGACATCATCTCATTCTTGAACTCCTCTAAACCTTGCCCAAATTTTCTTGAAAGCCTCTTGACAGCAATTTGATCCTCCCCACGAAGCTTTCCCTATTAAAATGAATGAAGAAAATTCTGCTGAAACTTGTTATTATCTGATATTCTTAACATTAAAAAATGGTATCCTCTTTTTCATCTATTTTTTGTTGACAATAAAATTAATAGAAGAGAAATTATTGGATTTATTGACTGTTGAGATGGTGAAATTTCTTCAAGATCAATTCAATCATGAGAACAAATCTAAAATTTCTTCATGCAAAGGTAAATAAATTTTCCAAAAAGGAAAAGAAGCACATAATTTCATACTATATTCCTATAATCATGTAAGATATGCCATATCTAACACAAAATACAATCAATGGTATTGCTCATAAATCCAAGCACCCAAGTAAGGTATGCCATATCTAACACAAAAAATTAAATATCCAAACACAACATTACATCTGAAAGATTATCTTACACCAAAATATTGAGTCACCAATAATAGCCTATGCTATCATTTCGCGAATCACGTCAGCCTTGTCCTCTTCAGGTATGGAATAAAAGCCAATTAGCATATTTTCATCACCAATAATCTTCACATATGCCTTGAGACGTTCTTGGTGGGAAAGTCCTTCAACCTTCTTCAACTCAATGAGGAAAGACGACCTCATGCCATCAATGCGTTTTTCACATTCAACTCTATCAAGATGCATGCCCAAACGCTCAGATGACTCCTGCAACCCATCAGCTAGTGTTTGAACAACCATTTTCATGCCTTCAAGTATGGAAGGTTGATCTTCATTGCTATTTCGCTTCCTCTTTTTTGCACCTGAAGTTGCATCAGACGGGGACACCTCAATTAGAGAGTTCTCTTGTGGTGAAGTATTCCCATGTGATACATCCATGTAAGATTTAGTTGGAATGTACTCAATATGAGTGTTTTCTATGGGTGAAATATGATCATCTTGATCATGAATCTCTTCAAGAACATCTTCACATGCTTGAGCATCTTTTCCAGTCGCCCTATCCTTCCCAAAAATATTGGACAGCTCATCATAATAAGGGAAAGTCCTGTTCCTCCACTTTGCAACCTCCTTGTTCACCTACAAGTCAAATTAAATAATAGAAACAGTAGTAAAAACCAGAAGAAAAATTGCAACAATTGCAATTCAGAAAATAACAGAAACTAACAGAAATAAAAAACAGAGACAGAATTTGACAGCAGCAATTAAAAAACCAGATATTGACAGAAATAAAAAACCAGAGACAGACAAAATTTGACAGCAGTAATTAAAAACCAGAAAACTGACAGAAATAAAAAACCAGAGACAGACAAAATTTGACAGTAGTAATTAAAAACCAGAAAACTGACAGAAAAAAACCAGAGACAGATAAAATTTGATAGCAGCAATTAAAAACCAGAAAACTGACAGAAAAAAACTAGAGACAGATAAAATTTAACAGCAGCAATTAAAAACCAGAAAACTAACAGAAAAAAACCAGCGACAGACAGAATTTGACAGCAGCAATTAAAAACCAGAAAACCGACAGAAATAAAAAACCATAGATAGACAGAATTTGACAGCAGCAATTAAAAACCAGAAAACTGACAGAAATAAAAAACCAGAGACAGACAAAATTTGACAGCAGCAATTAACAACCAAAATCTGACAGAAATAAATAACCAGAGACAGATAGAATTTGACAGCAGCAATTAACAACCAGAATCTGACAGAAATAAAAAATTTACCTTAACGTATTCATCCCAAACAAATTTAGGAGCTGTCACACATTTCTTTTCAATGTCCCAACCAAAACCAGATAAATTGAGAAGATTAGAAACTACACCATAGTTAATTTTTAACTTTTCAACCCTAGACTAGATGTGGGGATGGGCCTTAATACCACTTCCAAGTATCAAACCGTCAAGCATATCCTTCAAAGTGTTCAACACACGTGGTCTTAAACCATTGTCAGAGACAAGTTCACCCTTATCATGTAGTGCCATCATGCACTGGATTAGCAACTCATCCTCTTCAGGTGTCCACATGTGCTTATCCGACTTTTCAGACTTGCTTGACATGTTTGTTCAACTATAAGGAGAAAATGTTAGAAATTGACAATGACATAAATAACAATATAAGAATATATTATTACTAAGGAATAAAGCCATGTATTATTAAGGACATGACAATAATACATGTTCTATCATACCATACACCACACTCAAACAAACAAAGGAAACTAACATATTCAAACAAATAATAATATTCAAATGAAATAACTAATTCATCTAAATGTCCTATTAGAAGCAAAAGCAGTGAACATTTCATTAGCAAGAGTATCCCTAAAGGTAGCCCATTCATCAGAAGCATCCATGTTTTGAATTGGAGTGTTTTCCATCCCGTCCACATCAACACCCATTTCTTGAACTTCATTTTCAAGTGGATCCACACCTTCTTGTCGAATTAAGTTGTGTAGGAGACAACAAGCAATTATAACTCGATTCTATGTTCGGATAGGATAAAATGATGAGCTTCTTAGAATAGCCCACCTTAACTTTAAAATGCCAAAGCATCGTTCAATTACATTTCATGCAGAAGAGTATCTCATATTAAAGCACTCTTGTGCACTTCTAGGATGTCATCGTTCTCTCCATTCACTTAAGTGGTATCTTTGCCCTCTATACGGTGTAAGAAATCCCTCACAGTTGGTGTACCCAGCATCAACCAAGTAATAGTAACCTTGTGGAACTCTCAAACCATTCCTTCTACTTATGGCATCACGAAGAACCCGTCCATCTGCTGCGGACCCTTCCCACCTAGGCAAAACATATATGAAGAAACCATCTTGTGAGCAAACACCCAATACATTTATAGTTAGCTCTCCTTTCCTATTTTGATATCTTGCCTTATCAAGAGAAGGAACTCTCAACTTAATGTGAGTTCCATCCAAGGCACCTAAACAATTCTGTAAAATAGCAAAGTCAAATACAAGTTAACACAAATTATTCACATGTCTTTAACAAACAATGATAAATACATAACATGTGTATTTACCTTAAACCACTTCTACCTTTCGTCGTTAGAGTCCTCGGGCACAGGCTCTGGTTTCTTCAACAACATATCTCCAAGTCTCATCATACTAGTAAGAACTGAGTTGAAATACCTACTAATAGTTTCTCCTGATCTACCAAAGTTGTGTTGTATTACTCTATTCTTCACATGATGAGCTAGTATGTGTAAAAACATGGCAACTTGTTCATCTACAAGCATGTTCTTACAAGGTTTAAGACCACCCACATCCGTTAGCATAGAACATAACTTATCAAATGTTGATCTATGCATTCTAAGTAAGTTGTAACATGCTACATCACTACTAGATATCATTCTCTTTAGATAAGATCTCTTAGCAGTGAAACCCATTTTATAAGGTACATGTATGCTTCTTCGCCTCCTTAGCATAATAGTCATACACATATAAGTACAAAATGCATACACTGCCTCAGTCATGCTCATCCAGAAGAGAAACAAATGTAAAAGTATTCTCTTTTCTTCAGATAGTGCCATAACTATGTACCAATTATACAGATATATAAAAGATTAATATCTAACATATACAATGGAATAAAACTAATTAATGGTTAACACTAAATCACAATGACAACATTCTTCAATGAAATTAAAATAACAACTAAAATATATAAATTCTTTTCATTGATAATTATAAAAAGTTATAAAAAAATTTCATATAAAAAAATACCAATAACTTTATCTATCATTTTTAATTAAACTAGGACAATAGGTCAATGAATTTCTATAATATATAGGACTTTCAATCATTCTATTGCCTTATTAATTAGCAATAAAAGTTCATCTCAAAGATAAAATACTACTAATACTAATGCAGTATCAAAATAGGCAAAAATTTCCTAAACATCTTTTTATCAATCTTGCATTGAAAATATGCTTGAGGAGATGCATCCAGAGTTATTTGTCAGAGGACATTATTTTCTTTGTTTGTGCTTTGTTAATTACTTGAAGTACTGATTATGAAATTCTAAAACTGAAAATCCATAAAATGTGCTTGATCGTATAAGAGTGTGTATGTACTTTATATACTAGCTTAATAGGAAGTCTAAGCAGAAACATAATTGTGTTTATTGTTTTTCTCTTTTTTTAATTCTGAAAAGGCAGGTTGAGGAGCATATACGCAGGAAAGCTGTAAAGGAGAAGCAAAGATGAAGAAACAATACTTGATGGAGTGAAAAAGATGGAGAAGCAAAAATATATTTACAACCAATGTGGGCCGAACCCCTGAGAAAATAAGAATGGAGTTAAGAGCCTCCAGTGGAAGCTAGAATTGGTGGATATAAAGCTGACTATATTGTCCAAAAGCTGGGCTTTACATATTAGATTAGAGTAGAAGCAACTGGGTTTATGGGTGGAATTTGGGTTTTGTCGAATGATGATCAATTTTCAGTGGATTATATTTTGTCTAGCACTCAAATTCTCCATTGTAAAATCATAAATTTATCATCCTCAAAATTTATGCTTGCTTCCTTTATCTATAGTGAACCTCAAGAGCTTCGTAAACGCACCCTTTGGAACTAAATTGAACATTTAAAGGGAAAAGCAAAGCCCAAAAACATAGAAGACGAACGAAGGAAATGGATGAGTGATAGTACCTGACAGCGCGATGAAGGAGATGGACGAGTGATAGGCGAGATCAATGGAGCAAGTTGGCAATGGAGATGGCGTCTGAGTTCAATGGAGCAAGTCGGCAATGGAGATGGTGTCTGAGGTATCTAACTCAGGTATGCGAGACTGACGAAGTTTATTAGAGCAAATATGACAGAGGCACTCTTGTCCGAAAATTATTATTACCATGGGTAGTTTTGTCATAAAATATAACAAACCTAGGTTTGATTTCTCAATACCATAGGGGAGATGGGTTTAAGCAATCCCATCTGACTGGGTTTAAGCAAACCCAAGTATGATTTAATATCTCATACCAAACACATTAAATTGGGCCTTTCCCAATACCAATGCCAAACCCAACCCCTCAATACTACATACCAAACATGGCCTAAAGTTCAACAGTGAGACTATCCCCTTAGAACAAGCGATGCATGAAACCTACAATGAATTTCCTAGAGCTGTCTCTTGTCAGTCCTCCACAACCTGTACTTTCTATGATTTGGGAAAAAGCACCGTCAACACTAACGGACACCCAACCAAGAGCAGGAGGTGACCACTATTGTTTGAACTCACGTGATACCGCACCATTCCAATTAGCATCCGTGATCTTTTCCCTGGCAGTTAGAAGATTGCTTATTCTATATCTCATCCGAGGATAAGTTAGAGTTGCACGCACAAGTAGTAAAAATAAAATTTGGGTAATTAAGTAAATTAGCTCTAAATTATAAGTCCCTGAGTAGCTATAACCTTAAACTAATTTTTTGGATAACATTTTCCTTCAACTTTTAAAAACGGTATAGTTTAACCTGTGTTATTAACAAAAATTAATTTTAATTATTAGTTGATTAAAAATAAGAAAAAAGACTTCAAAAATTACAAAAAAGGATCAAATTTCACACATAAGGACCTCAAAAATTATAGACATGGACTAAGAAAATCTTATGAGTTATATTTTTATTTTTGAGATTTTTTTTTACTTTCTAGTCAACTAACAATTAAAATTAACTTTTATCAACGACGGGGCCAAATTGCACTATTTTTAAAAGTTAAAAAAATTATATAAAAAATAAATTGAGGATCTTAGACGTTCCTAAACTTATAGTTTAAGAGTTAATTTGCACTTTGACCCATAAAATTTTATAAACTCTGATAAATTATGGGGAAAAATTATCTGCAATCCAACCCAATAATTATAATTTGTAAGTAGTATATATTATTATGTCTACACAAATGGTAATTGAAAATGATATGACTGAGCGGTGTTATTTATTGTCAAGTACTAATACTTGATCTATTCAAATAACAAATAATCAAAAGTGATGAAAAGAAAATATATTCGTGTTCGTGTTAGATAAAAATAAAAAATGGCAATTACTGTTAAAGACTGCTATAAATATATAAATTTTGTTTATTTTGGGTAAAAAAAGCATATTTTTTCAATTAGACTAGCAAATTATTTCCATCGTGTTTACAAAGAAGCAATCATTCAACTTTTCATTAAATCTACCTTGCTTCTTGTTCCATCAGATAATTTATTACTTTCTGAACTCGTCTTCTCTTGTCAAACTCTTTTATGAGGACGTGCATGGCTATGCCACTTGCAGGGCTTGTTCTTAGTTTATTTCTTGTTTTATAATTTTGGTTTTAACTCCCTTCTCTAAAAAGGAAAACCTTTTCATTGATGGAGTTAAAATGTCAAGTAAATAAACGAGGCCTTATCACCAAAAAAAGTATATTAATGAGGCAATCCAAAAAAAAAAATTGAGGGGGTTGGTTAATGGTAAAAATGTATCCAGGAAACAGTACCATTGGTTTAGTGGCAAAAATTCAGATTACCTTGGCCTTTTTACAGGATTTTGTTGGCTTTTGAAGCTCAACTTTGCTCAGCCAGGGGCGGTGCTGCTCCAGCCACCGGTGTCAAATCTTCCACGGTTGCCAATGGTGCTCTAGTCACCACTGCCACTGGCAAACACTCGTCGAATCCTCTCATTATCTATTTTTCTCCTCTTTTCTTTCCAACTCATCCTAACCTTTAAATTATAGGATGAACGTTCCAGGTTTAATTATTTTTTACCAACAAATATAATTATTATATAAAAATAAATAAATTTAAATTGTTAGAATTTGATCTGCACAGTTTTACAGTTGCATACAATTATTAACAAATTTTTATAAATTAATTTTTCATTATTTATTTTATTGCAGTTATATATTGTGCAAATTAAATTTTAACACTTTCAAATTATTTGTTTATTTTATTGAATGGCACTTGGTTAAACTAGTCAAGAAAATTAAATCAACTTATTCTATAATTTTAAATTTAAATCTTAAAATATGCAATCCCATTAAATAAATATAACAAAAACATTCTAGAAATAGGATTAAGATTAGTTTGGGCATTCCTTATTTAATCATCCAAGTGTTGAGATGGAATTTTGGGGGGCGGGGGGCGGGGGGACACCGCAAAAGGACACTGAGGAGAAGGACACCGAGGGGATCTGCTTCGTGACAATCATGGCTGTAGGGTACTTGAAAAAATATAATAAAAGGCATCCTTGTAATTAACCATCAAATTTTTATTTAGATTTAATCTCTCAATCATGTATTGATCAATTCTTAACTAAAAACTTGCTGTTTATGAGGTTTAATGATACTCCTCATTTCTTTCTTCTATCCATCTATTGTTTTAAGAACCAAATAATCAGATCAGTTAAATTGTGCGTCAGGTGACAATAAATAATTAATTAATTGGGAAAAACAATCATGATGATCACATCATAGTCCCCATCCTTGAATGTTAGTATGTAGATATGGGTCAATCTACTTATTGAACCATTAAATTAATATTTTTACTGATTTAATAAAATATTTTGTTTATAACTCATTTGATTATGTTTTAACTACAGTTTGATCACCATTCAATTACAATTTTAATCATCCTTAATCTTTAAAATAGTGTATTTTTAAAATAGTGTATTGAGCGGTTCAATTAATTGAATCAACTTTCAATACCTTGATTAACATCCAACAATTCAACAATATTTTAAATGTGTCGTGACTCAAGTCAAAAGCTAGGGTAACCAAACTTGGGAATTGCACGTATGCTTGTATATAGCATGAGATAAGCTGGCCACGATCTCACAACCAGTGATGGCTCCCCACCCCCTAAAAAAAAAAAATCTGACTAACATTTAATCATGAGATTGCTTCACTAATTTTGAACATAAAAATTTCAATCAAAATTAATTATAAAGCATATATTGATTGTTTTGACAGCGTGATTTTTTCGACTTTACGCAGCGTATTTTTAATTTCAGGTTAAAATTACTTCCACGTTAAATTTTAAAATTTAAATATTTTAAATAATTTAAGTTAACAACCAAAGCATATATTTTAATAAAAATGCTCAGAAAATATTTTTTGTTGACACATGCCTCCGAAAGTTGGTAAAAAGGAAAGGAAGCAAAGATCATGCTCATAGCGCAACATGCCACACGAAAAACTTGCCAACTCTGTCACTATCATTTTGGGTTCTAAAAGAAGAAAATCACAAACCAATAAACAGAGAAACTCTGCAAGCCTAATATCAATAAGAGCGAGAGATAATTAGCTCAAACCCTCAAACAAGCCTCGTTACCATGTAAAGAAATGATCCAAGAATCGCTGCTAATTGGTAAAGTATCTTTGGAGCATTGCACTGTCCACTTGCCATCAGGGTACCTGTA